GTGTGTGTGTGTGTGTGTGTGTGTGTGAGAGAGAGAGAGAGAAGGAGAGAGAATTTAGGAGTATCTGTAAGGACAAAGACAAGTTGTGAGTAAAGAAATGGGTATGTGGGAGAAAGGGGGTCAGTAAGACAAAGGATGAGAGAAGGATTGCTGCATGACAGCACAGAATGGGGAGTGTGGGCATTGGGAAATACATGAGTGGGTTTAGGTGGTAGACACTGATGAGAGATAGGAATAGGAATGCAAAGAGGGACCAGGCAAAGCACCAGGAGCATGTGAGAAAGAGAAAACCTCTTGTTTAAGGGTTTGAGGGCAGTTTATAGAGCCATCAGAATCAGACTATACTAGGGGAGGGTATATCAGTGGCGGGTATTCATGAAAATGGCTTAGGTTTTGTTCATCACCTTGTTTTGGGGGAACAAGCAAAGCTACTGGAGAAAGATTAATTCACTAATTCCATGGCTTATTTTTTTCCAAGTATTTCCTAAGAACCTACAATGTGTTAGGCTCTGTACTTAGTGCCATGAACTCCTCAGTCCCAAAGTCTTAAGGAAACTTTCTTTTGGTAATCTGGGTGTCAGATGTATCTAAAGCCTGAAAAATCCTTTCTTCTGTTTATTGTCCTGCATCTTGTGGAACAGATATAGACATTGGGAAGGAAGAGGTGGTGTTTTGGAGCTGGGGTTCTTCACATTTTTGCTACTATATCACAAGAACACAGAAGATATTTACACATGATACATTACCATATGCTTACTCAAATTCTGACAAAATATAAAAAATGCTTATAGATAGTAAAAAAATTGATAGATGGGAATTTTTCTTAAGATGTTTATTCATTAAAAGAGTAAATCATGCTGGTTGTCAGAGGCTTGAGGTTCGGGGTGATTAGAGAGATGTTGATCAAATGAAAAAACAAAACAATAGGAGGAATATGTTTAAAAAATAGATTGAACATCATGCTGACCATAATTAATAACAATATATTATATATTTAAAAATTACTGAGTAGATTTTAAGCATTTTAACCACAGAAAATAAATATGTCTGATAATAAGGATGAATTAGTTTCAGTTAGCCATTTCACAATGTATATATATATATATCAGGCATCAGGTTATACAACATAAATGTCTGCCATTTTTATTTGTCAACTAAAAAATAAGTAATTAAAAAGCCATGAGTTACTATTAAGGGTTGTCCAAATTAATGGACTCTCAGCGCCTGGACAACACTACCTTTAGATTATGAAAACATCTTACAGGCTGGCTTTAAGTGCGTGTGGGCAAGAATGAGCTTATTAAAGGTATAAATCTGAATTTTCTCCGATATATTAGAAGAGCAAATTATTTACAAACTTTGAGACCTTATATGTTATTAGAAACAAATTTCTTATGACACATATTATAACAAAGCCTGCAATATATTGTGCTGCAAACAGAGACCATCCTTAGGAGCAGAGGGCAGTCGGGTAGTGAGGTTTGCAGCTGTCTCATCCATTAGGGACATGATTTTAGCACAGAGAGACTGTGTATTTTGAAGAATCTAAGAGTGGTGAAAAATGCTTGACATCTAAAATGCACATAACAAGGAAAATGGAAATGTGAAATTAATACTTGTACAAATAAATGTCTAGATAGTACAACTAGGCAAAGAGGTAACTCAATTCCTATATAGTTACCTAAAAATTATATCACACGTGATTTGTGAGCACATTTCAATACAATGTAATGATGGTAGGAGAGTCTTCTGACTTGAGATTGCATAAAGACAAAAAAGACCTTTATATAACCCCCCAAAGAGGAAATGGTTATTATAAAAAATAGAGCTGGTTAGGAAATTGGTCAGGAGCTGCAGAGGAGTGGCTCCATTTTTCCTTTAAAGTGTGGACCAAATGTTCTTTATGATTCCCTCTTCTAAATCTCCTTAGTTCTACAGTTGAAGCTGACTCCCATTGTTCTACAGTGTTCCTGAGGCTTCTGTAAATGATGGAGATAATTTCTCTTTGTACTGAGACAGGTGGGTGTTTTTCAGAGCATTTGAAGGAAGATGGCCAGGTAGTTCTCACCAAAGCTAAGTCCGGCACTAGTGGACATGCCTGGTGCACCAGCTAAAGCCCTTGGGTCTGGTTTTTGAGACACCAGTTCCATCTGAGAGGTCTGGTCTCAGGTTATTTTCCTTTCATTGGGCACTTCCTTCATTTCTTTTTCTCCTCTTTCTTCCTGGGAAAGGAGTTTTCTTTGGTCATATTTGAGTGAAGAATAAGATTTTAATGTTGCTAAATATTCTTAAGATGTTTTGTCTACTGTAAAAAACACAACAGAATGATGTGCCAAACAGATTTAATAACAATAATGATGATGATGATATAAAAAAGAATAATAACCCACTTTTCTGAGCACTTAATATAGATTAGTTTATTTCATCCTCACAATTACCACGTGTGAAGTTTATTTTGTTATTCACATCTTCCAATTAAAAATACTGAGGCATGCAGAAGCAAAGTGACTTCCCCAAGATCTAGTTAGTTCAGGAAGAACTGGGAAGTGAATGTAGAAAGTCCGGCCCCAGAACTTAATGTCTGCACCTTTTTGTTGTATTCTTTCCCAGCTAGCTTGGTTTCTTGCCCTGTCTCTACTGTTCTGGCTCTTTTTTTCCTCGCTCAGCTGGATGTTCTCTTGGGAGCTCTGAGAGGTACTTCTGTGAGACGTTGGATATGCCTGTTTTTTCCTGAGTTTCTTTTCTTCTCACCATTAACTCTTTCCTAAATGAGGCTTGAACCCTCCTAAGGTGCTTGACAGAGAAGCAGCAGGGCTTTGATGGAGCTCTAAGAAGTCACTGAATGAAATGAAAGTCCTTCTTTCCACTGGAAGTAACCTCCTTTCCAGAAACTCATTAACGGGCCTGGAGGCCTCACTGCCCCACTCTCCACCTGCCTTGGTATCTTACTGTTGGGGTGTTAAAACATCACAGAGTCATAGCAGAGAGCAGAAGTTGCTTTTATAAGGATGTATATCAGGTATCTTACTGTTTTATTAAGAAGGAATATGTTAATAACTGGAGGGGTTGGGAAAGTTGTGGGAAAATAAATGTCCAATAAATTTCCTCCTAAGGAAAATGAATTTTTTTTGGGGGGGCTTTTGCTTATATAAATTTGAGTTTAATACTTTAAAATAGAGGCAGAGCAATGCTACTAACGACTTCTTCTCTGTGCTCTTTCCAGCAAAGCTCAGCCTCTCTTCTAAGTAGAAGTTGAATGTACACACACACACACACACACACGTGTATATATATAATATGTATATATATTTAGGATATATATTATATTTACTATATATATAACATATATATTTTAAAGAGACAGAGTCTTGCTCTGTCACCTAGGCTGGAGTGCACTGTTGCCATCATATCTCACTCACTGCAGCCCCAAGCTCCTGGGCTCAAGAGATCCTCCTGCCTCAGCCTACTAAGTACCTGAGACTACAGGTGTGTGCCATCATGCCTGGCTAATTTTTAAATTGTTTTGTACAGACAGCATCTTGCTATGTTACCCAGGCAGGTCTTGAATACCTGGCCTCAAGTGATCCTCCTGCCTTGGCCTCCCGAAGTTCTGTGATTTTAGGCGTGAGACACTATGCCTGGCCCAAATACTTAAAATATACTGGCTTGAGTGATGTCAAATTATTAGCCTGCCTGCGACCTTTAGTTGTCTGAATCTGGCTCTGTTCCCTTCCTTGTACCCATCTGGAGTCCCATTGTTCCTTCCCCGTAGCCCACCATGCTCTGAGCAAGTTCATTTGCATAGAGGCAGGGAGATGGACTCATAAACTGAGGATTTTATTCCTTTGCATCTCTTCTTTGCAGCCCTCTGAATATCATTATCAGAAGATCAATCTAGTGTTTATTTGGTACCTTTATACTCCTGATTCTCTCTTTACTGTCTATAGTTCCTTTTCTTCATGTTTCTTTCTAGATTCTTAATCACACATTCTTTCCCTAGTCCTAATAGCTGACAGATAGTTCAGGGCTTCATAAGGAAACAAATATTACCTGAGTGGCAGGAAAGCCAGGAGGACTCTATACTTAACCCTTCTTGGCAAAAGGGAAACATGGTTCTTTCTGAGGGTTAGGGAACAGGGGGTGGGAAGAAGGGCAGTATTAGTGGAGTCACAGAGGCTACAGGTAGACAATATATTGATTTCTTTTGCTCAGAATCATTTTCCTGGGGGGCATCTATAGATAATGAAACTCAGACATAACCAGGAGAATCCTATGTAGAACTATTTGTGGGGGAGCATGAGAAGTCCATGAGGAGCTGGTGATGAAAATTGCCTCTCTCTGTTTCATTGGCTGCCCCATTGCTCACTGCATTGGGAAAAATATGAATCTGGATCAGAGTGGAGAAATGTACCCCTCTAGGCCTCCCCTGGATTCCCACTTGATACTCTACTTCCTTGCACAGGGAGTCACAAGTGCTAGTGTCCTGTGAAGTGTTCAAGGCAATAGCCAGATAAATTTAATAGGATTAAATATAATGAAGTTAAAATATAGTTTAGTTAATAGGTTTTCAGGAAGGAGATATATTGCTATGAACACAGGCCATTACAAAGTGGTATGTCTTAAGGAGTTATTTTAAGGTTAAAATTTTGGTAAACAGAAGTAGAAGGGGAAGAAAATTAAAGGTAAATGTAGAAAAAAGTCTTGGGGCAAGGGACAAGTATAACACAGGTAGGTGGAAAATGCTACTTGTGTGGAAATAGTAGAATGAGGTCAGAGAGGGTGGGGCCAAACTCTGGGGGTAGGGCGGTTGGAGGCAGGTGTTACTGCCTCTGTTGGTACCTGAAGCATTATTGCCACAGAAGTTCTGTATGCAAAGGAAGCACCATGGTCCAGAAGCCATTCCTACAACCAATTGAACATTCTCTGGGAGAACTTGACCATGGAAAGCCCAGCAATTTAGAAATTCATGCTGCCATTTATGATATTTATACGTATTCAGAAGTGCTTTCTGTTTCTATCACTTTCAGTGAACTCATCAGCTTGTCAGTCATCATAGAGAGGACCATAAAGTGCATCATGAGTCACACCAACCTTACCGTCTTCCATCCTGCAGTTTTTGTCCTACTTGGCATTCCTGGGTGGGAGGCTTATCACATTTGGCTGTCAATACCTCTTTGCCTCATTTACCTCACTGCAGCCCTGGGAAACAGCATCCTGATAGTGGTTATCATCATGGAACGTAACCTTCACGAGCCCATGTATTTCTTCCTCTTTATGCTGGCCGTCACGGACATCCTGTTGTCTACCACCACTGTGCCCAAGGCCCTAGCCATCTTTTGGCTCCATGCCCATAACATTGCTTTTGATGCCTGTGTCACCCAAGTCTTCTTTGTTCATATGATGTTTGTGGGGGAGTCAGCTATCCTATTAGCCATGGCCTTTGACCGCTTTGTGGCGATTTGTGCCCCACTGAGATATACAACAGTGCTAACATGGCTTGTTGTGAGAAGGATTGCTCTGGCCATCGTCACCCGAAGCTTCTGCATCATTTTCCCAGTCATATTCTTGCTGAAGCGGCTGCCCTTCTGCCGAACCAACATTGTTCCTCATTCCTACTGTGAGCATATTGGAGTGGCTCGTTTAGCCTGTGCTGACATCACTGTTAACATCTGGTATGGCTTCTCAGTGCCCATTGTCATGGTGATCTTGGATGTGATCCTCATTACTGTGTCTTACTCACTGATCCTCCGAGCAGTGTTTCGTTTGCCCTCCCAGGATGCTCGGCACAAGGCCCTCAGCACTTGTGGCTCCCACCTCTGTGTCATCCTCATGTTTTATATTCCATCCTTCTTTACCTTATTGACCCACCGTTTTGGCCGTAACATTCCTCAACATGTCCATATCTTGCTGGCCAATCTTTATGTGGTGGTGCCACCAATGCTGAACCCCATTGTCTATGGTGTGAAGACTAAGCAGATACGTGAGGGTATAGCCCACTGGTTCTTTGACATCAAGACTTGGTGCTGCACCTCCCCTCTGGGCTGATGGATCCTCATGTATCTTCATGTCCAGCTCCTTCAAGGAAGCTAGATGTGAAATACAGAGATTTCCTGGACTGAGAAGGCTTTTCTTCCTCTTCCTTCTATCTCATTCTCCTCCCCCACTTTCCTTACTTTTCTTAAAATTCTTCCTCCTCCTGTTTGTTTTCTCCAACCTCTGTACACATTCCTCTCTACAACCCAGAAATAATAACTAAGTGTTCATGCCCTAATATGAGGCTTTGGTACCCTCAGTAGACTAGATAGATACTGGAAGCACAGGGAGCTGAATACCATATGAAATGAGGTTATAAAGAAATGGATAAAAATAATTTTATATTTACTTTTTTTTTAGAAGGAAAGAAAAAAAGGAGTGAAGGGGAGGAAGAAAGAGGACGAAAAAGAGGGAGAGAGAACGGAAATATTGCTTTATTCTAAAAAATGGGTATTAATAATGGCCAATCAATATTTCATTTAAACCTATGAGTAGGTGTGATGTGGTATTGACAAGAATGCATATTTTGTGTATTTAAAGTGGAGAGCTCTATAAATATTTATTAAGTTTACTTGTTCCAGATCTGAGTTCGAGTTCTGGATATCCTTATTAATTTTTTGTCTTATTGAGTCTAAGTCTCTATGTATCTGGGTGTTAGGATCGTTAGCTCTTATTGTTGCATTGATCCTTTTACCACTATATCTTTGTTGCTTTAAAATCTATTTTATCAGATGTGAGAATTGCAACTCCTGCTTTTTATTTATTTATTTATTTTTGCTCTCCATTTGGTTGGTAAATCTTTCTCCATCCCTTTGTTTTGAGTCTTTGTGTATCCTTGCATGTGAAATGGGTCTGGATGCATCATACCATTAGGTTTTGGCTGTATCTTTTGATTGGGGGATTTAGTTGATTTAAATTTAGGGTTACTGCCATTTGATGTTAACTGGCTGTTTTATCCATTCGTTGATGTAAATTCTTCTTTATGTTGATGCTCTTTACTTTTTGGTATATTTTTAGAAAGGCTAATACTGGTTGTTTCTTTCTATGTGTAATGCTTCTTTCAGATATTTACTATCTGAAGGAGTTTTAATTAAAAAAACAATCTCAAATGTGCATTGATCCTTTAGCCATCTGGAAAAACTTCCTCTCCTTCAAATTTTAGTTCAAGAACTGCTTTCCCTGAGAAGTCTTTTCTAATTTCTCCAGGCAAGTCAAGGGTCCTATCTTTGCATGTCTAGTGCATCTTGTACAAATCTCCAAATGTGCATGATAAGTTGTAATGTAATGAATTGTTCGTTTATTTGTACCCTCAGTCGACTGTAAACTCCTTGAAATCAGAAGTGTATATTATTCATATTTATACCCCCAATGCATTACAGAATGCCTGACACATATTAAATGTTTGATAAATGAGGGGAGCACAATTGTCTCCTTGAGGTCATAACAGGCATCTTTACGGTATACTGAAATGACCAGCTAAATTAGTCCACAATACCAGTGATTAGTAAACCATCTCCTCATGAAGGCAGTTCGGCGTAATTAACGCAAATCAACTGCTGATTTGCAGTGCTTCCCTTTGCTGTAACTCAGAGTCCAGGGAATAGACAAAGTAGGAGGAAACAGGTTACTCTTGATTCTCTCTTATATCTGGTTTTTGACCAGACCCAGAAATAGGAATTATAGCACATTGTTCATGGCCGGGTTGCCAGAACTGGAGTACTCTCTTGGGATTCACAGTCTCAACCCTCATTTTTTCATGTTTTTCCAGAAAAGGTCACGTACTGTCATTTCTTTACCACCAACACTGATGAGCCCCACATCCCTCTCTCTAGCCTAAAACTTCTCTTTTGAGTGTTATACACACAAATCCACCTATTAACTGGTTATTCCTCCTAGGATGTAGAACTCCCACTCCACTTTTCTTTCTACATTTCATTTCTTGGGAACTAGATTACGATGATCCCATCACCTTCACTGAGCTGGAAACCCTATAGTCTTTTTCAACTTCCTCCTCTTAGGGCTGATAATCAAAAAGTTATTGGTTGATAATATATTGATAGTGCCACTAAATAAGTAGGTGGATAGTATTTGGACTCATATCAGGACTCAAGTCTTGTCACCATCATTTTCTAGCTGTGTGAACTTGCACAGTTCGTTTAACATTTTTAGTCTTCAATTTCTAAATCTACAAAATGGGTACCTTAGAGGTTACCTTCAAAGGGTTATTTAGAAGATTAAATAAAATAAACCTTATGACTATATTTAACATAATCCTTAGCTCATAGTTTCTGAGAAGTATTTTGCTAATACTTATTAGTATCATTAGTCTTTTAAACATAGCCTCTACCAATTACTCACTACTTTTCTCATCTTTCACTTCAGATATTGTATTACTTTCTTAACTGAGCTCAGTGTTTTCAATCTTTTACACTTTAGCTTGAACTATGAAATGACTACATTAAATGCTCTGAAAGACAGAGAAAATCAAGCCACTTTCTGTCAAATACTTTGGAGGGTTTTTCATTACCTACAGAAGATTTTCCACAGAATATTCTGTAGCTGTAGATGTCAGATATGAATACATTTTTGTTTGTTTGTTTGAGATGGAGTCTCGCTCTGTCACCCAGGCTGGAGTGCAGTGGCGCGATTTTGGCTCACCGCAGCCTCCACCTCCCATGTTAAAGTGATTCTCTTGTCTCAGCCTCCTGAGTAGCTGGGACCACAGGCATGTGCCACCATGCCCAACTAATTTTTTTTTGTATTTTTTAGTAGAGATGGGGTTTTGCCAAGTTAGCCAGGATGGTCTTAATCTCCTGACCTTGTGATCTGCCTGTCTCAGCCTCTCAAAGTGCTGGGATTACAGGTGTGAGCCACCGTGACTGGCCCAATTATACTCTTAGTTATTTAAAAAAGTGTAATTAAATTATTACTGACTATAGTCACCCTGTTGTGCTAGCAAATACTAGGTCTTATTCATTCTATGGTTTTTTTTTTTAAATTCATTAACCATCCCCTCTCTCTTCCCAGCCTCTGGTAACCATCTTTATACTCGCTGTCTCCATGAGTTTGTTTTAATTTTTAGCTCCCGCATGAAAACATACTAAGATTATCTTTCTGTGCCTGGCTTATTTTGCTTAACATAATAACCTGCAGTTTCATCGATGCTATTGCAAATGTCAGGATCTTTTTTATGGCTTAATAATACTCCATTGTGTATATTTACCACATTTTCTTTATTCATTCACCTGTTGATAGACACTTAGGTTGCTTCCAAATCTTGGCTATTGTGAATAGTGCTGCAATAAATATGGGAATGCAGATATCTCTTCCATATACTGATTTCCTTTCTTTTGGGTATATACAGGGTGGGATTGCTGGATCATATGAAAGCTCAATTTTCAGTTTTTTGAGGAATCTCTAAACTGTTCTCCATAGTGGTTGTAGTAGTTTACATCCCTGCCAACAGTGTGTGAGGTTTCCCTTTTCTCCACATTGTCTCCAGAATTTGATATTGCCTGTCTTTTGGATAAAAGCCATTTTAACTGGGTGAGATGTTATCTCATTTTAGTTTTGATTTGCATTTTTCTGATGATCAGTGATATTGAACACATTTTTTATATACTTGTTTGCCATTGGTATGTTTTCTTTTGAGAAATGTCTATTCAGATATTTTGCCCATTTTTTGATCACACTATTAGATTTTTTAATGGAGTGGTTTGAGCTTCTGATATGTTTTAGTTTTCAATACCTCATCAGATACATAGTTTGAAAATATATTCTCTCATTCTTTGGGTTGTCTCTTCACTTTGTTGTTTCCTTTGCTGTGTAGAAGCTTTTGAACTTAATGTGATCTCATTTGTCAATTTTTGTTTTTGTTGCTTGTGCTTTTGGAGTAAAACTCAAGAAATCTTTGCCTACTCCAGTGTCCTGGAATGTTTTCCCATTGTTTGATTTTAGTAGTTTTATAGTTTGAGGTTTTAGATTTAAGTCTTTAATCAATTTTATTTTGAATTTTGTTTATGGCAAGAGAGAGTGGTCTAGTTTTATTCTTCTGCATATGGATATCCAGTTTTCCCTCTATTTATTGAAGAAAACTATTTATTGAAGAGATTGTCCTTTCCCCAGTGTATGTTTTTGGCACCTTTGTTGATTGTGAGTTCACTATAGATGTATGGATTTGTTTCTGAGTTCTTTATTCTGTTCCATTGCTCCAAGTATCTGTTTTTATGCCAGTACCATGCCATTTTGGTTACTATGGCTCTGTACTATGATTTAAAGTCAGGTAATGTGATTCCTCCAGTTTTGTTCTTTTTGCTCAGTACAGCTTTAGCTATTCTGGATCTTTTGTGGTTACATATGTATTTTAGGGTTTTTTTTTTAAATTTCTGTGAAGTATGTCTTTGGTATTTTGATAGAGATTGCATTGAATCTGTAGATTTTTTTAAGTAGTATGGACATTTTAACAATAGTGATTCCTCCAATCTATGAACATCAAATATCTTTCCATTTTTTTGTGTGTGTGCCCTCTTTAATTTCTTTCATCAATGTTCTATAGTTTTCATTGTAGAGATCCTCTAATTCTTGGTTAATTCCTAGATATTTTATTTTACCTGTAGCTGTTATACATGGCATTGCTTTCCTGATTTTTTTTCTTGAGATTGTTTACTGGTGGCATATAGAAATGCTACTGATTATTGTATGTCTATATTGTATCCTGCACCTTTACTGAATTGTTTATCAGTTTGAATAGTTTTTCAGTGAAATCATTAGGTTTTCCAAATATAAAATCATATCACCTGCAAACGAGGATAATTTGACTTCTTCTTTTCCAATATATATGCCCTTTATTTTGTTCTCTTATCTCATTGCTCTTGCTAGGATTCCCAGTATGATGTTGAATAACAGTAGAGAAAGTGGGTATTATTATCATGTTCCAGATCTTAGAAGAAAGGCTTTTAGTTTTTCTTCATTCAGTACAGTATTAGCTGTGAGTCCACTGAATACAGCATTTAGTATGTTGAGATATGTTCCTTCTATCCCCAGTTTTCTGAGGGTTTTTATCATGAAGCGAGGTTGAACTTAGTCAAATGTTTCTTCAGCATCAGTTGAAATAATAATATGGTTTTTGTCCTTCATTCTGTTGATATGATGTATCACATTGATGGATTCACATATGTTGAACCATCCTGGCATCCCTGGGATAAATCCACTTGGTCATGATGAATGATCTTGTCATTGCACTGTTGAATTCAGTTTGTTAGTATTTCGTTGAGGATTTTTGCATCAGTATTCATCAGTGGTATTGACCTATAGTTTCTTTTTTGATGTGTCTTTGGTTTTGGCATAGGCATAATAATGGCTTCATGGAATGAGTTTGGAAGCATTCCCTCTTTCTCTATTTTTTGGAATCGTTTGAGTAAAATTGGTGTTTTTTTTTTTTTTTTTTCCCTTTAAATACTTGCTAGAATTCAGTAGTGAAGCCATCAGGTCCCAAGATTTTTTTTTTTTTTTTTTTTTTTTTTTTTTCTGGAACACTTTTTATCCTGGCTTCAATTGTGTTAGTTGTTATTGGTCTGTTCATGCTTCAGATAGCCTCATGGTTCAATCTTGGTAGGTTGTATGGGTTTAGGAATTTATTTATTCTAGATTTTCTAATTTATTGTCATGTAGTTACTTACAGTAGCCACTAATGATCCTTTAAATTTCTGCAGTATCAGTTTTTATAATGTATCCCTTTTCATCTCTGATTTATTTATTTGGATCTTCTCTCTTTTTTATTTAGACTAGTTAAAGGTTTGTCAGTTTTGTTTATGTTTTCAAAACACAAACTTCTTGTTTCATTTATCTTGTATATTTTCTTAATTTCAAATTCATATAATGTACTCTAATCTTTATTATTTCTTTTCTTCTGCTAATTTTGGGTTTGGTTTGCTCTTGCTTTTCCAGTTCTTTAAGATGCCTCATTAGGTTGTTTATTTGAAGTTTTTCTTCTTTTTCGATGTAGGCACTTTTAGCTATAAATTTCTCTGTTAGTATTGCTTCTTCATTATGACATAGATTTTGATAAGTTGTATTTCCACTATCATTTGTTTCAAGAAAACTTTTACTTTTCTCCTTAATCTCTTCAGTGATTCACTGGGTGTTCAGAAACATATTGTTTAATGTCTGTGTGTCTTTATAGTTTCCAAAATTCCTTGTGTTAATGATTTCTAGTTTTATTCCATTTTTGTCAGAGAAGATGCTTGATATTGCTTCTTTTTTAAAATGTTTTAATACTTGTTTCATAATCTGACTTATGGCCTATCCTTTAGAATGATCTATGTGCTAAGGAGAAGAATGTGTATTCTATAGCCATTAGATGAAATGTTCTGTAAATATGTACTGGGTAATGTTTGCCCTATAGTGAAGATTAAGTCCAATATTTCTTTGTTGATTTTCTGTCTGGATAATGCTGAAAGAGGGGTGTCAGAGTCTCCAGCTATTATTGTATTGAGGCCTATCCCTCTCTTTAGCTCTAATA